GGAATTAAAGGAAGGTACTTTCAGGATTAGTTGATTGATATTGTTTTCTAATCTGGTTTACAGGACTCCTACAGTCCTGCTATAGCTTGAGAGAGAGCAATTATGAGCAATTTCCTGCATGCCGGAATTTCACGGTCTCTTTAATCATATATCCATGTTTGAAGCTCAGCTGCTTTTCCCATTAGTAATGGGCACATACTGGCCACAGAAATACTTGCTCACAGTCACAGATTCACCAAAAACTTTTCATCTTAGAACCGAAAATTGCACGTGACTTAAGCTCTTCTTTAACAGAGTCATCTTCAATTGGGGAGCCTCTCAAAGAAGAGTCAGCTTCTTCTACAAAATTCAAGTACGGCTAAACACTATCGTTTGTCAACTATTATGTTATACCGCAGTTTTTACTTATTCCTCTGTATGTGCTCATTCAGATCCATGGAATCATTGAAAGAAATTCCAGTTCATGTACTTTCTTCCGGCTCAATTGCTGGTAAGAGGGGATGCAACATCTCACATACTAAGGAAGAAATTAAAGATGAAGGTAATACTTTTATGGAACTTGTTGACCTGGCTGTTTGTTAACTTGAGGAAGCATCCTCCTCAATTGGCTTCAAGAAGTGTTTTAAAGTATTACTTGATAGATAGCCTAGGGCTCATGTAGAAAAAGAACTACGAGGAATAGGGCTCTTGTAGAGTAAGATTTGAGTCCACGCTGATGACTTTGTGTGTTTTATCTGGTTTGCTTGTTATGCATAAGATAGATTACTGAGGTTAGATAACTCTAATTTCAATTCGATACAATATGCCTAAGAATGATTCATTCAATGTGGCTTTAGAATTTATTTCTTTTCTGTTCCACAGAATCTCAAATAGACAGGAGCATTGGAGAGAAAAAGCCTAGAATTTCTGGGGATGAAGGGCCATCTGCAACGGAGTTCAGTGGTTATAATTTCAAGAGGCAGGAATTTGAGGTTGAATATGACAATGATGCAGAGCAGTTACTAGCTGATATGGAATTTAGGGATACTGATACAGATGCAGAGCGTGAATTGAAGCTGCAAGTGCTACGCATCTATTCAAAAAGGTTTGGTTCTGTTCTACATAACGACTGCTAGATGGATTTTGTTGCTAGATATGCACTTGTGAGAGGCTGATTCAAACAGCATACAATTCCAAAATGACTATAGTGGGCACTGCATGTTGAAATAATCTTTATAATGTTGTTGACATCAGTGAGCAATTAATGGATATCAAACTTTGTACTGCAAGCATTATCTGGTATTGATTAATTTGACTCGACCAAATTGTTGAAATACCCAGCTCAAATCTCTCGAATGAATCTATAACTGACTGAACTTGACAGATGCATTGCGTCATGACATGATTGAATGCATCACGTGAACCGACTAATTCATCAATCTAGTGTCTGGTTCAGTCATGCATCATATTGTAGCATCCGTTTTCGCAAAAGTACTTGTTGTATAACATGATTGCTTTCTCACATCAAAATAGAATTTGTTGAACAACCATTTTTTTCTAAAAGTATAAGTTATTTGTAAAAGTGTCCATGATATGTCGGCTAAATAAATTAACACTCCAGCTTGTCATAAGCTGGACCTTACACATGAAACAAAAGATGTAGATGTAGTTACTTTTAATGACAATGGGGGGGACAAACAGGAATAACGGACATAATGGCCAGAAGAGTGTCAACATTCACTCGAAGCTTTGATAATAGTTAAATCATTTTTCTAAAAAGCTTAAACTTTCAGGAAACGTGACACAATAGATATGAAGCTTATATATGAATGGTATTGACGAAACAAAGCACGCTTCCTGATATATTCTCCTGTTCTGGAAATAAGCCACTCTCTTTATTGTTTACATGTTACCTTGGTGCTTGGACAGTTTGGTTCATGGATTATGCACTTTGACACATCTCAAATAGTTTTTATTAGCCATGTACATTTAAGATAGTAAATTTTACTGATTTAAAGTTTTAAGTATGAACATTGATTCTGACCCACCTTACCAAAAGAACAACATTGATTCTGACCCTAGATTTAGTTTTTGTACCTTGTTGAATATTTTCCATTAGTGCTGCTATTATCATTTTTGGTTATAATTGCTAAATGAATTTGCAACCTGCCTTTTACCAATTGGACTCTATGTGACATGTAGTACAAAATGATACTATCTATTTGACCGTCTTTTGGTGGAATCTCTGTACTGGTACTAGTTCTGTTGAGAAGTGTCCTTTTATCATTTGTTTTGAGGTGATTAATTTACCTTTCTTGCCCCTATCTTGAATATTTGACAGGCTCAACGAGAGGAAACGTAGAAAGGATTTTATACTGGAGAGAAACTTGCTCTACCCCGACCCATTTGAGAAGAATCTCTCTCCAGAAGAGAAAGAGATATATAAGCGCTTCAAGGTCTTCACACGGTTTCACTCGAAAGAAGAGCATGAAGAGTTTGTTAAGAGTATAATAGAGGAACATCGGATTGTCAAAAGAATACATGAACTCCAGGTCTGATGCACGCCTATTAATAGCCCGTCCTTTCGTATCGTCTGATTCATCCTGTGAGTTCCACATTTTAAAACCAAAAAATATAGTATATAACATGGGTACGCCCTTTTTGCAGTTCTGCAGCTCCTAATTTTAATGGGAAATGTACTTTCTCTGTGACATGCCGATGTGCCCATGCACATTCATTAGTGTCATGCCATATTTAGAAACTTCTATTGCTCCGTCAAGTTTATTTTCAGTGACAAACTTGGTTGATGGTGGATTAGGCAGCTTGACCATTTTCTGCTAAAGGTCTGTCCGCTGCCATACATTGAGCTAGTTCCTTTCACTATAATCCACCTGAAACGCAATATATGCAACTATAAAGCCAGTTGGGCCTAAAAATACTCTGCATTTATGGTCTTCGTTTTCTGTATTACTGCACAAGCTTTGCTATACTTTGTTTGAGTATCTCAGATCATTGGAAGTTCATAAGATTAGTGTGCATCAATGCCAAAATGGAAATGCACCATTTGCAGAGAGAACTTGTTGAAGTTTTGACTCTCGTTGGATAGGAAAAACATCTAATCTTCTCTAGTTTTTTTAGATTGGAAGTTTTCATCTCCTTACCAAACTTTGATGGAAAATTCTGATGCATCTTTACAATTCTACCTTTACTTTGATGCACTTCAATCTGCTTAGCTTTATATAGTGGTGCTCGCTCTTATATTTCTTTCTTTAATGAGCGTGTAGGATGCCCGAGCTGCTGGCTGTCGAACGGCTGCAGAGGCGAATAAGTTTATTGAGCGGAAGAGAGAGAAGGAAGCAGAAGGAGCCCGGAGAATGAAGGAAATTTCACAGGCTGGTCCGAGCGGTAAAATCTTTCCAAAGCCTAGTCATGTCAAAGTTGAGCAGGAGAGCAGCCCTCAAGGACTTGTCAGGAGCTTCTCGAGCCTTCAGTCCAGTGGCAAGGACACAACTTTGACATCACTGGATACTCTACACAGCTCCCTAGATGGTTGGGACATCAGCGATTTTCCTGGAGCTGATCTATTATCTGAAGCTGTAAGTACTGTGAGTGTGAGAACTATAAATCTTAAATTTTCATTTGAGAAGTGATTCTACAGAAAACTGTCGAACCAATTGCTTTTCTCAAACTAGCAACACTATGTTTCTTGAGAATCTCCCCCCATCGAAAGACGAAGTACCTTTTCTTGGTTTTGTCATAAAGCGCGACTCCCATGTGGGGATCCCTCTTACTTAGCAGGACATTAGAATTTAGAAAAATGATAGTGTCTTAATGCCAACGTTTTTCAATTTTTCGTCTTAAGCAGAAATTTTGACTGTTTGAGTGCTCTTTTCTTTCGTGTAGGAGAAACGTCTTTGTGGTGAGATCAGAATTTTACCAGCACATTATCTGAAGATGCTACATGTTATGTCGATAGAGATGTTGAGGGGCAACCTTACCAAAAACACAGATGCCCATGGCCTATTCAGAGTGGAACCGAGCAAAGTGGATAGGGTGTATGATATGTTTCTATCCAAAGGAATTGCTCAAGCATGATTTTGTGTGGGCATGCTTGATGTGTAAATAGCTTGTGCTTTCTTTTCATCTTCCTTTTCTTAGATCTTTTTTTCTTTTTTTCGGGTTTTCAGCCAGAGGGAAGATAGATGTTTAGTTTGGGCAATTGTTTGCTTATGATAGCAATTTTTTAGTATTCAATGGTTTACAATATGCCCGCTAGGAAGTAAAAGTCTCAAGCATTCGAGAGTTCCCCATCTTTTTTTCTGTTTGGCGGTCTTGTAAGAAACTGGAAATGTACTTTGCCAAAAGCTTCTGAAGAGGCTAGATCCGGAGTATTGTGTATTGAAAGCTTTTGTGATGAAAGAATCGAGAAAACAACTTCAGATGCCATTTTGAGTATTTCTTTCGTAGTTAATGCATGCATGCCACTCTCGTCATTTACTATTCCTTCCCAATACCGACTTCTCCTCTTTTCTTATGTCTGGAGTTGTGCAGTGAAATGGCGGCGATTGATGATTCTAGAAGGCCAAAGCAAAACGGAAGCATCCACCGTATGGTCCTGTTACGATGATGACCTCTTGTGCGGCGCTTACCTTGCTGCAGAACACGCGAAAACGAGCTCCAGATTATGTTGGCATGTTGAATTCTCCTCATTCTTTTATTGTGAATGCTCCAAGCAGCCGATGGATCAACTTTCCTTACCTCCCATCTCTCAGAGGGAGGTAATCAGTATTCGAATCACGGAAATGATCGCCTTACTACAGACAGCGAACGGAGTTCATGGAGACTGCGAACGGTGCATAGACAGAAGCTCAGAGGCGAAGATTGTTTCATCCCTTCGATCCTAGGCAACACTCGGACAAAAACCCAGCAACTCAAATACATCCACACGCATTCCATTTGGGAGAGGCTGAGAAGTTAGAACTTTGCACATCAATCAAAATGGAATGTAAGAATGAAACCCATTAGAAATGTGAAGTCAACAATGACTTTGCTTTACCGAAAAGAATACCCTAAAGAAGACTGACTGGAAAGTTAGAAAAAAAGCTACAATGCCGGTAGAACAAACATCACTACACCTAGTTTCCCAAATTTCGATCTACGCTTTCCTACCAGTACCACCCCCTCAGCAGCAGAACTAAACAATACCCCCACCTAGACGTATCTATTGCCCTCTATCGCCCCCCTAAAGCTAAAACAGGATTACCTACACAAATTTGCAAAGCCGTAGGATTAAGAGTGTCGAATGCTTCCTACCTCACTAGCTCTGGACAGAAGCGAATCACTTCCCCGTTCGTGTGTGCCCTGAGACTGTACACAACCCATAGCCCCTTGGTAGTCAGAATCAGTGTCAAAATGGTCCCTAAAACGAGTCCCCAAAACAGCGTACGCGCCCCTCCCGAAGTAAGCAGAAACCCAGTAGCACTTTTGCACATGCCTCCCTCCATTAGGTCAGTCCTCAAGTACAACACCTGAGGTGTTAGGATAGTCTACATTACTCTGCGCCGAAGTCCCACAGGTGTATAGTGGCGTCGTTGGAGTACACTGCCACATGGCGCTCATTAGCCACCATCGCGTTGACCTCACCCATCCCCTCCGCAAGGTTGTACAAGTTGGCCCCGCGCTCCACCTCCCAGACCCTAATTACACCCGCCACGCACATGAACGCGTACCCCTGGTTCATGCACCCCATGACTCGACCTTGCGATGCCCCCCTTACGTTGAACCTGCATATCTCCTCCGACGTGCCGACATGGCGCACGACAGCAAGCCCCCGCGTGTCAACGACAATGTAGGCATCTTCGTTGACATCGACCGAGGTTACAATGAGCCCTCTTCTCCTGTAACTCCGATCATGCAATACCACCCCTTGGTCTCTCAGGTCAATGATAATTACCCTCGTGCTCGTGGCTGCCACGGCCGATTCTTGCTGTGTGACGCGGAGACGACCCACGAACTGTGTCAAATCAGTCAGCATTTGCCAGCCCATGAGCGCTTCCGGATCGGTCAATGTCCCGCCCACAAAGACTAGCTCCTCCGTATTACTGTCCCAAATGCGGAAGGCCCGACCCGGAACTCCTGCGTAGAGTCCCACCCACCACCTGCCGCATCCCGCGAAGTCTACCAATGCCCCGTCATTGACCACATCACCGACGTGGGCCCTACGCAATGGGGCTCTGCCATCGATCATGACCACATGGATATCTCCATCCAGTGTGGCAAACACAAGTCGCAAATCACTCATGATGATGCCGGCGACTGCCCGCGGGTGTAGACCTAGTCCACCCTGGTGGAGGGGTTGGTAGGTGGTGACGTGGAGGCGCGTGGCAAGGTCGAAGAGGCGAACGGTCCCATCGGCAAAGCCGCAAGCAAGGTGGAGGTCGGATAGGGTGAGGCAGCGGCATATAAGCCCATGTGGATGCTCGTTCACCTCCAAAGGGTTGAATTGGAGGGTGGCATACACAGATTGCCGAGACCGGAAATTCGCAGCGGTCCGATGACGGAAGATGAACTCGTCATGCCACGTGGGATGGGTGAGGTGGGTCTGGCCCCATATGCATTGGGTGAGACGGGCCCACAGGGGATCCGAGTTCGAAACATTTCGCCACGTGGAGCACACCTGCACTTCGCATTTAGGCATATATAAGTTACGGCTGGTATCAAGCTACGTAAAAAGATCTGAGAAGTATCAATAACTACGTAAGAGATGACAATGGAGCTCCGGCACCATGGGCAACCAGAACACTAAATATCATGCATGCATGCGATTGCTCCACGTACAGTACAAAACACAAAATCATTAGGGTAAACATCAGAACCTAGGCTAGGTAACAATGTTCAGAAAAGAAATTTATCAATTTCAATTAAGTTAAAACACTGTCAAGATATTAAAATCTCCTAAATCTCAGACCTTCTAACATCGTACAACTAGCGTGCTTCCACCCAAATAATCACAATCTCATCGTCCAGTAAGTTCATCTGTTAAGATATCCAAACTAAAACGAATTAATGATTGTCTTATGAATTTAATCATATACCCATACTATCACAGAGGAAGGCTCGAGTCTATAATCTACTCATCAATCATCATTTCTCTCTCTACTGAATTTCAGGTTCGAAGACAGCCGCACCCGATCCAAATGACAATCTTCAGCTAGTAATTCTTCAATCATAGACAAGTCGACAGAGAACCCGCAGATTCTCTTCATAAAATAAAGATAAAATCACTTTGCTTATAGCATGAGGTCTGGAAAATAGTATTACCACATCTTATATCTAGATAATTGCCATTATCATTTCATAAGAATTATATTGAACACTATTTTCACATATCATCCCAGAACTCTTGCAAAACTACATGAATGCCAATTCCAAATTCGAACATGATAATCATAGAATAAACGACAGATTCCAAATTTTCCATATTTATTGGATATTCTCTTCTTTATATGTATTAAAGTTAACCCTAAGAACTTAAATTGTTTGAGAACTACACAAATTTCATATATAGATATGCTGGTGGATCCCACTAAAACAAGGTCGATCTTCATTCCAAAACATTAATTTCTTACTGAGAGAAGATTTTGTACTCAATATATTAATTAGCAGAAGGTACAAAGGCAATAATCCCCAAACTATTTTGATTTGTTCAATCTCGTCCTAACTTTCTTTCTATCCAATTGAATCCTTGAACTGTACACTATTTTGTTCAAGTTAGTCTCTCCGTCAAATACATGGACGGAAATGTTAAAGCTGAAGACCAAGATCCACCTCAACACCACTTCAGTACATGGATATCCATGCCATGCCACATCATTGTGCTCCTCCGACTCTTTGCTGACGTGGAACTAAAAGTAAATACAACAAATAGAAAAGAGAAGAAACAGAAACGTTGGAGGAAGTGCTTGCCGGTGGAAGAGAAGAAGACGGAGGTGGTGGCTGGGCGACGGTGACGGAACCCAGCCACCAGCAAAAGTCCACAGACCCTCGTCATTTCTTAGGCCCGTCACAGCCGGCACTTCCTCCCACACACACACAAGAGGAGAGGTGAAATATGATGCCCGCGGCAGATCTGCGCAAGGGTTGTGCCCTTGACTCGGATCTGAGCGAGGTCTGCCCTCCTGCAGGTTTTCTGGTGAGGGACGCAGCCCTAGCCGTTGAAGTGGCGAGTTCTGTTTAGAATTTGCAAGATCTATGGCTCGAGTCGCAGTCTATTATTTACGTGCTCGCCATGCAATCATGGCCAAGTCGATCAGTCGCAGTCTATAGATTGTAAGCCAGATGATTCCACAAACAGCTTCTTGGGGTTTTCTGTGAGATCTGGCGTGAAGCACGTGGGCGTTTTGGGGACCATGGAAGTTTGAGAATGAATATGGTGAAACAAAGCTATCTTCGGTGGTGTTCGTGATTTGGGTATATCATAAGTTGTTCCACTACCGAACCCTGATCATGTACATGCTCAGATGAAGTTAACAAGGAGATGTAGGATGATGTCGCTAGGGGCTTGGTTTTGCGAGAGGTGTTTGGTATCAGCTTTCGTGGCCATTTATTTGCCACCAAGAAGGCTGCATTTGAGGTTTGGATCATCCTCCGCCAGAAAGTGGCGACGGATGGGCTTAGGTATGCCGGCTCTTCGCTGGTGGTGGGTGGCGCTGCCACCTACAGTAGCTTGCTCTTCCATTCTCGTCCATTTTTGTCTTTCATTTTGTTTTTTGGATATCGTTTTCTTTTGAAAATTTGAAAAATATTTATTATGGTTTGCATTTTAGCTTTTTAATAGCCGCGATGCTACCGTTGCACTTGATAGCAACTTAACGGCCGAATTAGCGTTCCTGTTAACTTCTGACATCCTGTTAACTTCTGACATAACGAGACGACTCACTCGAGCAGAAATTTATATAGTTCAAGGATCTACTCGGACAAAAATAAATTCAAGAAGCATATTGAACAAATTGAAAAGAAAAATGGTCACTCCCAAAAAAGTAGACAGATCTACTTCAAATAATCTTTGAGGGAAATAATCACGTCATGCTTTGAAGGATGCTCCTAAGGCACTTCAACCACCAATTTATAATCCTAACCTCACATCTAGAAAAGGAGACGTTTAAGCCTAACGATTAAAGGACTTGGTTTCCGTGCTGAGCTCGGTAAAAAGGGCTGGACATTGCTCAGTAATGGTATTAAACTCGAGGAAAGGGTCTGAAAGCATTTCATTCTATTTTGGCTGATGAGGAAATCAATAAAGCATGAACTGCATGCGACAGTTGTAAAAAAGAGTGAAAAACCCTAAAGGCAAAACACAAGATTAATCAAAGACAACATCAGATACAAAATCCCAGCGATCAGAGAGAAGACATGGAAAAAGCTCAAAGTTGGCATCAGCTGGGGGCAAAAAGGCAGAAGTCGAAAGACGAGACGAAGCAAAGCGAAGCCTGTCAAAAGGCCAAAAAACCCCTGATCACCCAAGGAAATGCTGCTCCTGGGGCATTAATAAATGTGTACCAGCGTAGAGGACACACTTGGACAGGACCCAAAACCTCCACCCAAATAAAAACAAACAAAATAAAAATTAATTTTAAAAATAAATCACGAAATAAATTTATTAAACTTTTATATTGACTGCATGTTATGTCTAAATATCGATCACTCAGGAGTTACAACCATAGTTTATGTCATTTATAAACCAATTTCCCATATGGGTTTTTCTGTCTAATCATTTCTGCAGAAGGATTTTGTATTTTGTTCAGCCCTTAACCCTTGCCTAGGTTTTTTCCGTTGCAAACTTGTCAACACACTTTGGAAACGCTACAGAAAAGAGAAATGTACGAACATCTCAAAAAACATCTTTGGCTGCACATCAATGTGATAACCAAAGATGTTTTAGAAGATCGAACTTACTGTACCAACAAAAACACCAACAAATGCCTCAAAACTGATAACCCAAAAAAAAAAAAATAGAAAACATTAGCAAATGCAAAAAAATGCATGCATGCATGCGCGTGAAACAGTGTTTAAATGAGTTTTTCTTTTTCTTTTTCTTTGTGAAAGAGACAGACTAGACTGACTGGAGAGACTAGGGACTAGAGGCAGCAGGAAACTAGTGTGTATACTATATAGTCTTGTACTAGTCGCAGTATAGATTTTTGGCAGGTGTTTGTTTCCTCCTGATTTGCCTTCCCCTTTATTTGTGTCAGTCGAAAAAATAAGCAACAGAATTGCGATTAATAAATACATACATCGAAAGACGTTTATGTTGTTGGGGTTTTACGACAAATGACTTTTTCCCACTGTAAAAATCTTTTTTTTGTCTTGTTCTGTATATTTGACTGAACAAATGAGTTGTAGCGAGAGACCTTCAATCTCCTACTGTCTATATCTAATATCCAACCCTGTAATCTATAAGTTGTGGCTACGATATATCAGAGTTCAGTTTCTAGAGTGTGACAACTCCTTCCTCAGTACTGTCATTTAATCGCTCCGTGCTGTACTACACAGTTGAAAGGTACAGCGCTAGGGCACAAGCCGCACAACAGAGGCATGTTCTCTACCCACACATATACGGTGGTATTTGATGTTTCCAGTCGCATTTCAATTAAGCAATAATTACTTTATATCTATGCAACACTCATTCAAGATCCGTCTCAGATCATTCACAAAACTTATTTTTTTGATGGCCATACATAGTAGTTGCACTACGTTAAAGGAGGGCATGAGAGATCTGAAAAAGGTTCAGAGAGCCTTAAAAAATTCATGGAAACGAACTACCGAAGTCTCATGATGCAGAAAGGACACCGCAACAAAGTAGAAGCGAGAGCTGCACGTCTCACGAAGACCTTATCAAAGAGATCTATCCATTTGAGTCAAATTAATGTGGGAAGATCTCAATGATTCACGAGCTCTTCGAAAATAGGACTGTCGGTGTGGTCCCTCATATGTTCGTATACATGGGAAGCGAAATACCAGGGCATTTTCTAGAGATTTAGAGAGAGACAGCGAGTCAGAGCGTGTGCAAAGATTAGATATATGCAACACAAAGCGTGCTCTCTCTCTCTCTCTCTCTCTCTTATCTCCTACAAATTTTCTCTCTCTTTCATTTCCAAGAAAGAAAGGAGTGGGTTAACCCAAAAGGCCTGTGTCTCTCGTTAAAAGCAGCGAATCTTCAATGATCCTCTCTCCCTCCAACTTGCTCCTTTTTTCCACCCTTTCTCTTTTGACACTAGTCACAACTACCCACTGTTCCTCACCTGTGTGTCCTCCCATTTCTTTCATTCATTTAATTTCTAAGTGTGATCCACCCTTGTCAACACAATGAAGGATTTTTATTAATAAGAATGCTTTGGGCGGGAAAGGGTTCGATGACGAGAAAATCCAACTTACACACAAGACAATCCCGCCTCACAAAATACTTCACCTAGCTAACCCTATTATCTCTAAATTCGAATCCAGTCACTCCTAAATACAACTCAACCCATCTATATCTAAGACGAGTTTTTCAATTAAGGGCTGGAGAACCTAGTCGAAATATTATAATGAGAAGTACCTACGCCATCTAGTGCATTTAACAAGAATGGTACTTTAGCAATACGAGTACTTTGATTCGAGTTGGGAGGTGCCCTTCAATTAAATTGCAAATTCATTAATGCCTCTATGAGTTTCCTTTTTTTTTGTGGGACATCAAATCGGACATATGCTGTGGGTGGGTCGATAACTCGGTTAACCTGATCCCTTGCCATCCCTATTCAATACCCAGATCAATGGTTCAAATGCAGAAGTATTGACTATGTAGAGAACCGAACCTATATATGTCACGCTTAACCTACACCCGACGTGTAAATCTCTATCCCACTAAACTAGATTTTAAGGAACCCTAACATTCAGAGATTGAGCGACATTGTCAAACAATAAATTGTTTTTGGAAGAATGCTTTAGTCACAACTCCACAAGGAAGACAATAATGTAATAAGTTCAATCAGAAGAGGGTGGCAAAAGAGGATATATGGGGATCATGCATGAGAAAAACCAGTTCCTCGTCAAAAAATTAAGCATTGGGCTCCATGTGCCTTTTGGCATTGCTCATTGCACTTGCACATGCTGGCTTTTGACCGGTCCCTACGCGAGGCGCTCCGACAGTCCAAATCTATGGTAATGGATTTCGAAATTACTCAAAATGGAGTGATAGGGGCAATTCGGAATGGAAAGATGTACTTGGAGAATTTGTGCACTATATTGTGCAAAGTTGAAAAGGGAGAGAGAGGCTTCTGATCTGTGTATTGTAACTAAATATAGAAACGAGAAACTTACATAAGTATGGGGCACAGACACAAGTCCGAGGCCTCACTCATTAAAAAACACCCAACAAAGCTCATGTTACAGTAAAGTTCCTGCATCTCCCAGTGGATTCTTCAATGGGGAGGGACCAAGAAAGTTCAGTCAAAAGGCAGTTAGATTTTCTAGAGCTTAGGGAAAATTACAAAGGAAAAAAAAACAAAAGGAAAAGGAAAAAATCAGATCCAAAAAAACCCTTTTCATTGAGATACGGAAAGAGGCCCGGAAATAGGCATTTCTAAAGCAGTGAAAAGGAAGAGAGGGAAAGGACAAAGGAAAAGGAAAAAACACCCATCACCATTTTTCTACTAAGAAGAAACAGCAACCCTCAGAAAAGATATGGATTAGTTAGAAAAGGACCCATCGAAAGGAAAAAACCAGTCGCTTTATAGAAAGAAAGAAAAGGAAAAAAGCAGTTCCAATTCAGTTTCTTTGGTATGTCTAGACACATCAACATCATATCCCAAATCCAACTATATTCTCTCGAATCCAACTTCTCCATATAGAAGCTCGATCGCAACACCCCCCCGTACTCATTTGAATTTTGTCGCGTGGAAGAATTGATCAACTGGTCACTTTTGTTGCTTTTTGATGTTTCTGCTACTCGACAACTGTTGATACCTAATGCTGAACTCATTAAAAGGTCCCCTTCTTTTTCTCCTTCATTCTTAAGCAAGAAGGTTGACATCTTTTGAGATTTGTCAATAATGCGATGTTCCGAGAACTTTATGTTCTCTTCTTCTTTTCGTTGGGATCCAGTGATTGATGCGAAGAAAAAACAGTGACTCCAGCAATAAAACTTAAACCAAGAATTGCGTCCTAGCTCACGGCACTCGTGATCACGAACAGATTCAGCTCCATACGACGGACAAGAGAGAAAGAAAGAGAGGGCGTACGTACCCGAAAGATGCTGACGAGCGCAGGAGCGACGGAGAGACGTCCCCCGGAGCGAGCGTCAATGGCGACCTGCGCCGCGAGGGCCTCGAGGAAAGGCTCGGGCCAAACTTCGTTGACGCTGCGACGATGCCTTGAGGTCGAAGGGCCTTCGTAGTCGCCGCCCCTCCTCGCCGCCCCGCCGCCGCCGCCACCGTCTTCCGACGAAGACGACGTTGAAGACATTGGAGCGCTGGCGAGAGAGAATGGTACTCAAAGAAGGGGGAACGAAAAGGATGGTTCTTGGATAAAGACGCCGAGGGAGGGACCCAAGAAAGAGAAGCGGGTGATGGGTTTCGTGGATATATATATAACATATCAATGCGACATAAATATTTGTGATGTAATTTAAATATAATAGGTATGTAATTTTCATTTTTGTATTGTTTTTCATTTTTTTTTTCAAATTTCCGTAATATATTGAAATTATCTTTGAAAGGTGATGAGTGGTGGGGGCTCTGGAGGTTTCCCGCTCTGCAATGACGGCGGGAGTGGATGACTGATGGCCGTGAGTGATGGGCATTCCATGTTGTCGCAGTTGGTTCTGCTCGCTTTGCTTCTACTTTATCGAGCCAAAGCAAAAAAGTTTTCTATTTTCTTAATGCTTTAGTTACGCGATAAATAAATGATAGATGAAATATATATCAACTTACGCGTCGATATTTGTATATCGTAATAATTTCTGATAGTTAAAGCTGAGCGAGTTGAAATACTTTGATTAAGAAAGAGTATGCGACAATTCATATTGATTTATTAATTTTTTCCATTTAGCCACTTAGATGGAAAAAATAAGCCGCGTTCTCATTCGTTTTATATATATATGGCTAGATTGTTTTCTAGAGGAAAAAATTAAGGTGATTTTCTCTCTTTATCCACAAAAAGCAATCATCAACTTTATCGTGTTTTCCCGCAACTATTGTTGGAATTTATGATTCATAGACTACAAACATGAGCGTCCATCATATTTAATTTTGATTATATTTGTATGTGAGCGATGTTCGTAACTTATAATCACTAATATTTCTTACAACCATAATAGATTTGTTATACGGGTTATGTCGTTCATCTCATTACGGGTTGTTTGGTTGGCCTAAAGTCATTTCAAATAATTACATTTGAACTTTCCATGGAAGAAACTTTCCATGGAAGAAGAAAATGATGTAGATTTTAAAAATATGGAAAAGATAAGCCACTTTAAATGAGAAATATCTATATATTTTTAAAACTATCTCGAATAGTCAAAAAGGTGCATGAGAGCGAAAAGGCTAAATTATAATATATATAAAGACCTGGAGATTACTTTTCTCTGCAAAGTTTTTTTTCCCTCCAGGTGGTAAGCAAAGCATGCCTCGATGAATAATGATCAAATTAAAAAAGCTCTTTGCTTTGACTGGCACAGGTCAAACTTTCATTAATTACGGGTAAAGAGACAAAAAGTGCAACTAACCGAAAATCATTGAATAACGTTGCATTTTTCCATGCAAGAGCAGTGGCGGTGGTGGGTTCGCTTTCCATACGGACTGTGGAAGAAAAAAAATATTATTTTTCTCGTTAAAGATAAAGATATCAAGAGTAGGAAAATGAAATAATACATCAGATTTGTCAGTATTTCAAGCACACAAGGAGGAAAAGACGGTGGGCTGTGCTCGAGCAATATGCGTCGGATTGTGTTTGCATTGATCAACTGAACAGAACAGCCATGCTCATGCTGCTGCTCGACCTGTGCTTCCAAGAAAGCAAACGAAACTAATCAATGCTCGATGCTTCCGAACACGAAAGAGAGATCAACGTGCGCCATTCACCGAGTCGCGTAAGTACAGCGTTGGAATCGAGAGACCTTGTCCATCCTTTTGGCCAGACCGACAGGTGAATCAAGAACGAGCTGTGTCGCAGCGTCTCTTGATGTTTCGATGGCTCTCGAAAGAGAGAGAGAGAGAGATAAAAGACCCCAGCTGCAGATTTGCCTCTCCCCGCTATCTTCCCGAACAAATGGGCGTAAATCAAGACAGCAGCTATAAAGGGTTGGAAGCGTGCAGATGCTGTCTCTCATTTCCATGTCGCGGCTGACCAGTCCATATGATTTACATGATTATTAGGTTTGCCTCAAGTTGCTGGGTGAGTTCCTGTGCTCTGATGATGAGTGTGCATGGAATTGGGAATATGTACTGGCTTATGTTGGAAACAGGATCAAATCAACTAAAAGGTTACTTGACCATAGCGAATATGTACTCATAGATATACTAAAGAGGAAAAAGAAACATTAGCATGTCAATGTTTCCGGCAAAAAAAAAAAACCCATTTACAAAACCCTACTCCCAATGTGATAGACACATGCAAGGTACGTATTTATAAAGTACAGCGAGATTTTATCTATTTTTACTGACACACAATGTGATGAAATGACATGTACGCCAACTTTTTTCGCGGGCAACATGTAAAGAAAAAAAGAGGGAAATTTTTCATTAGCATTATCAGTCTATTTCTCGTACATCATTTAAGACAACGCTTTGGTGTATCTCAACGTCAAAAGGCTAATCATCTTTTAAAACTGTCTTGCTTACATTAGAAGAGGGCTCTTTTTAACAAGTCCCAGTTTTTTGTGTTTTTTTTACGGATTTTTTTTGTCAAAAGTGTTTTTTTTTATGAAGTTCACTTTCGATGGTTAAACTTTGGGTTCACAAGTTGACTTCTCAAATAGGCAAAACGCAAATTCAAATCTAAAAGGGTGGCCCGATAATTGGTAGTACAGGAATTGATTTTTGTATCGAGCATCCAATCCTCGCATTTATATGCATTCTCTTAACTATTGAGTCGACTCATGTCATTAACGTACAACATTTATCATAGTACGATAGTCGCACGAAAAAGGCACAAATTCAAGAAGCATCCTACCACGTACAATCGGTACGCCATAGACTCATGTGTAAAAGAGAATAAAGGTGTGGTTATTTGTAATCATTCCTCAAGCGACAAAAAACGTGAACAGACTTGCCACCCAGTAATTATTTGACTTCGCAATAAATTACATCGAACAATAAAAATAACTCTACTTTCATACGTTACGATTAACAAAATAAAAGTGCTTTCGAAACACTGATTAAACGTACTTACTCAAAAGTATTTCAATCTTCAAAAACTACATGATCAATCACGCTCGCAAGCAAGCCTACTTTTTCTCAGTTTTGCTTATGTCAAGTCGATCAAGCCACCTTTTTGTCAGATGCTGGTCAAAGGCGAAAAAAAACAAAAAAAACCATAGGAGAAAAACCCTATTTTTTCCGGAGCGTGCAGACCACGGACCGCAGGCGAGCGTGAAGGGAGAAGGTGGGAGGGGGGCCAGACAAAGGAAGGGAGTGGGGCCCACCTTTCATTCCTTTTCGTGGTTTTTTCTGAGTCAAAGAGAGGGAGGAGGAGGGGGGGGATGCTCATGTCTTATCAGCGATTCTCTTCGGGCTTGAAGATTTTGTCCTTTTCCTTTAATTTTTTTAAAATTCTTTTGTTTTTTCCAATTTCGAAGTACAAAAGAAAAGACAGACACAGACGCAACAATCTCTCTCTCTCTCTCCCTCCATGTCTCTGTCTCTGTCTCTGTTTCTCTCTCTAGGGGTAGTAGGGCGGGATAGAGTCGTAGGAGTAGGGGCCTCTCTAATCGAAGCCGATGTATTGTATCGTCCCTTTGACCGCAGAGGAAGAGACAAACCCACCCACCAGGCGGGATTAATCGCGTGATTTGTTTCCCCGATTGTATTTTAATTAAAGCTTGAAAATGACAGGGAGGCTACCCCCCACTCCTTTTCTTCCTTCTTGTTTTTTTGAAAGAAACGGATAATTTAGGGCCGGCGGTTTTTTCGAGGCCTAATTTCCCAAACAACACCCCCAACTTTAAATCAAATCTCAAATTTATCTCGAATTTTTTTGTCTCAAAAAAAAATTTCAAACTTTAAATCTAGTCCTAAATCTACCCCAAATTTTACTTTATATAAAAAAAAATCATCAAAATTCAATTTATTTTAAAAAATATACTCCCGTGATCCAGTCTCAACTTGACATGGCACTTCCGCGTTGATAACAAATTCATATTAACAAAGTAATGGGGCTTTTTTTTTAGGCAAAGAAAAGTTCGAGGCAAATTTGGACTCAACCTAAAAATTGGGTTTTTTTTATATTAAAAAAAGTTTTTTTCGGTGAATTTGTTATCGTCCCTAACTTTCACATCTTAGATCGGTCAATAATTTTTATTGAGTTGGATTTGTTATCGAAATGAAAATGCGACGTCGGCATATACCTATCACCCCATTACTTTGCTGATGTGGATTTGTTATCGACGTCGAAGTGCCACATGAAGTTGGGACTGGATAAAGGGAATATATTTTTTAAAATAAATAAAATTTGCTGATTTTTTTTTACACGAAATAAAATTTCGGTGCAAATTTGGGGACTGAAGTTAAAGTTTTGGGTTTTTTCTGAGACCAAAAAAAATTCGGGGCAGATTTGGGACTGGACCTAAAGTTTAGAGTTTTTTCCAAGATAAAAAAAAGTTTTGGGTAAATTTGGAACTTGACCTAAAATTAGGGTTTTTTTTTGTTAATTCACCCGTTTTGTTTATTATACATATTTTTATTTCTCGCTTCTACTTATTATTCTATTCGAAATTTGGAATTTTAGGAGAGCCTATTTGCGACCCTAAGTGGCTCGATTGAAACCTCTCGAATGAGTTTTGGGTGTTTCGGATTAAATAAAAGTCGAGATGTATGCGCTCCGACGTTCTTATGAAAATTTCGAGAGTATGAAAGCCATTTCTAATGTAAAGAATTGATGAGGACCGTCTCGCGATTGGGTTGTTCCGGAATTTTCAATCCGTGAAATTAGAGGCTACTTGTAGCTACGCAACTGAATGCAAACTGTTCTATGTTTAGACTATTATTAGAAGTCAAAAGTCCGAAAAATTCAATCGGTTCAAAGGATTTTTGCACAGTTTTTTTACTTGGCCTTTAGGCAACAACTTCTGTAGTCCTGTCTTCTAATTATTTAAAAATAAAATAAAATCGTTCCCCCCTCTCTCTATAATGATTTGGCAGTCCTTGCTAAAGCATGAAAATGGGAATCACGTCACGGTACAATTTTATTGATCTCCGACTCGTGACATTCGAACCCTTGCGATTCCATTACCCAATGTCCCCTTCTCTTTCTCTAACAATGTGCAA